CAAAAATACAATTTTACTATTCACATTGCTTTTAAAAAATAAATAAAAGAAACACTTGCCTATGTAGATGTACATTGTTAGCAATTGCATAAGATTATATTATATAAATTATAATCACATTCAACTTTTCATCTGAAATTGGGCATTTATGTTGAACATAAGTGGAAAAATACAAATATTCAAGGGCCTGCTGTTTTTAATAGATTAAACCCTAGAAACTATACATTTCCAAGATAGGCTCTGGAATTGCTAGTTAAATAGTAGAAATATAATGTCAATGTAGACATGGCATTTTAAAATGCAATAAAAAATTGCAGAAATAAAGATGAAGTCATTATTCCCATATTTAATTTTACTTTCTAAAGATACTCAACACAAACTTTGGATGTAGTTTTCTCCAGACATCTTTTCTTTATCAATATATATGAAGGTTTATAGTTAAAACGATAGATTTATAGTCTTCACCTGCCCCTCCCCCCACCCCTTTTTAGGATCATATTATCTATACCTTCCTATAACTTTAATTGAGCAGCCAAAATTTTTCCTTAGCATACTTGATACTTTCTGAAAATCTTCCCAGGTTGTAAATATAGATGAGACTGTGTATGTGCACATACTTGTGTATGTGTATATCCCCTGCGAGCTACTAATGTTGGGGCTCATCAAGGGACTTTAAGAATGTTTTCCTTGGTTCATTCCAAATAAGTAGACTTATGCAGATGCCATGTGCCTTAGGAAGTCTGAGTCATTTAAGATCAAAGCTTCTGAGGAAACCTGGAACATGTATTTATTACGGTAAAATCATGCAGTGGCAGCCCCTGGGTTGCTATGGAAGCAGACAAGGGACATCACAGTAAGACCATGGGAATCATGGTCACTGGCAAATAATTTGAACTGACCAGGGTTCACTTATTAAACGAAACCTTGAGTAATTCTCAGCCTCTCTGCCTCAGTATACTAAGGCCTGACCACACAGCATCATTGTGAATATTTATGAGGCAATTATTATAGTAAAGAAGTGTTTGGATACCCATTATCAGGTGTCTGTACAAGTAAAGCCAGAGCATATTAATTAATGCAGTATTATGCAGTTCTGAAAAAATACAATCTTTCTATATGCACTGACATCAATCTCGACTTTATTTTGATGGCTACCTTTTGTATAAAATATTAAAGCTCTCTATAGATGTGCTTGTATTAATATAGAACATTTGAAAGAATGTTCAAGTGTTCCTTTCTTTGAGAAAGGAAACTGGAGTAGGAGAAAAGCTTGCTTTCCATGTATACCCATTTGTGTTCCTTAAATTATTATGCACATTTATTATGTAAAGATGTTTCTTAGCTGGGATCCGGTGGCTCATGCCTGTAATCCTAGTTACTGAAGAGGCTGAGACCTGAGGATTGTGGTTCAAAGCCACCCCAGGACTCTTATCTGCAATAAACCACCCAAAAAACAACAAAAGAAAGCCGGAAGTGACGCTATGGCTCAAACTGGTAGAGCACTAACCTTGAGCAAAAAAAAAATCTCAGGGACAGTGCCCAGGTCCTGAGTTTAAGCCCCAGGATACGTGTTTCTCTCTCTCTCTCTCTCTCTCTCTTTCACATACACACACACACACACACACACACACACACACAGTGTTTTCCTAAATCCAAGGATTTTAGGAATTGTGTACAAGGAAACTGTATGAACACCAAATAGATATTTCACAATATCACAATTCTCTGTTGAGCAAGGTACTCACACAATGAGCAAAAAAAAAAATATGAAGTCTGCCCAGAGCAAAGCCGTGAAGGCCGAGATTGACTATCACTATTTAACCCCTTCTTCCATTTGTTGTTGTTGTTGTTGTTGTTGTTACTGTTGTTTATCAAGCATTGAGTTGAAATTTGCAAAGTATTAAAATAATGCTTCTTCATTTATCAGAAATCTTGGCCACTCATCTTCTGACCTGGGACCCATAGGTAATATGTTGTCCATTCAAGCCCAGTTCAGACCTGTACAAAGAAATGGAGAAAGAACAAAAGAACCCAAATGATCCATTTGGAAAAGATAAAATGACCTAAAGTGATCCCCTCCTATAGCTCATCTAGACGAGTTACAGACCCTTGAGGAGTTGATGTGGCTCATGGAGTTGCATGGCCTCCCCACTTCCACCATCTGGCAAGATTTCCAGGGCTGACAGTCTTCTGTGATTCATTTCTTTATGGTATGGATGGAGTCCCTGAAGGCTGAGACACCACTGGCCTGTCTTTCAAGTCTTAGTGATTCTTTGGCAATAGAAGTATGTTAAAGATTTAGTAGATTGTCCATCTGGCATTTAGATTTGGTTGGTTTAGTTGGGTGCTTAGTAACCACAGTCACAAATGGAGACTGGATGTGATCCTTGAAGTTAGATCTCAGCCTCTTAGCAACGGAAACTGGAATTTCCCTGGCCACAGCTTTATGTTTCTTTAGGCCTTTGCCGCACAGAAATTTGAAGTAATAACCTGGGATGGCAAGGAAAATCTAACCTGCCCCTCACAGATAGCTGGCAAAGAGCTAGTTCTTCGTCATGAGGACTTAAGGAAAATAAACAGGAGATCTGGGTCCCAAAGTCTCATTCGTTTTGCCTTCTATTGACTTTACTTTGGGCAGAGAATACAGCTTTATATTGTTCTTCTTGGATTGCTTCCTACAGAGAGAAAAGTTTGCATGGCAAAGCTGTTGACTTTTTTAGGTGGTCTTGCCTCCAATAAACCTTTTCCCTTATCTGTAATGTCTCTCTGACAGCCACAAAATGTGACCCGTGCACAGTGCATTCTGTAAGAATCTGCCAGCTCCCCATTACACCATAGCCCATCCTGACCTGGCTGTTGCTTGTGACAACACACTTATCCCAGCCCAAAAGTGAAAAGATTTTATATGCTAACACATGAAAAATCTGGGGAAGACCAACTGGTCCCTGAGCCAAGCCAAAGTTGAACCATTGCTTTGCTTTGAATTCCTTTCTCCCCTCCCTTCCTTTCCTCTGTCCTCCCCCTGCCTCTCCCCTGCCTTCCCTTCCCTTCCGTCTTCTCTTGTCTGTCTCTGTCTTTCCCTCTCTTGGTGAAGTTCCCTTCTCAGGTAACTTCAGGCTTCTAGCTTATCAGCCCTACTGGAAAGGACACAGTTCCTACTTGCCAGTAGTTCCAGGAAAATTCTTAGGGCTGTCCCTTCTTCACCCTGCTTTGGTTATGTGCCACCAGCCCCATTCGCTGTTTGAAAAGGACAGGATGGAACACTGATTAGCCCAGCCCAGATCACCTGTGTGTACATTGCACTTAGGCTTCGAGAAGGAAGGTCTGCCTTTCCCAAACAAAAAGAGGAAACATTTGTCAGGCTAGGAAACAACAGGGCCACACAAAGACTTGACAGTACAGCTGGAAAGCAATAATAAAATCAAAAGAAAATTTGCCATATTGTCCTTTCTTTGATAGAAAGATAATATATGCCATGAATCTACACACACATACCGGTGAAATAACCATCTTGGTGTGTTATAATTATTTAATATTTTATAAAGCCAAAGTATGTTAATATGTAGGCAATATAAAAAATTAACATTTCACTCTTTTATGTATATGTCTTTGAAATTCAATGTATATTTTACATGAGGCATGTACAGGTCTGGGGAAGCTTTTGATCAGTGGCTGCTGGTGTTGGTTGGACAAGTTTAAGTTTAGCCGGAAACTTTTCGTAGGGAAGCGTGGGGATCCATCATCCTCTGACGGGTGATTACTTGGGCTTCCACATTGTGGACTGTTAATCTGAAATTGTAAATATCATTTGAAAAATTACCCCCGTCCCAGACGAGCCTTGCGTCTTGTTGAAACTACTTTTGCCTAAATGCCTGTCTGTTCTCATCCTATTCACTCTTAGCAGTAACTTCTTTAATCATCTGTCTTCTCTCTTGCTCCCTACCTATGCCCTAAGAAGAGGCTTTCTTTCTTTTCTTCAACCACAGTTTGAAGTACATACTTTACAAAGGTATTTTTTAATGGAATAGGATTGAAATAACTTACTTGAGAGTTCCTCATTTTCCAAGTTTCATGACAAACTAGAGAAAGGAATACTAGTTAAAGTCACCATGGCTGTTTGCAATATTTGTTCTGATGAAGGACCATTTGCAGCCTGAAGTGACTTGTTTTACTCTTCAATGACTTGGTGAATATATCGTGAGTGAATGCTCAGATACTTACGAAACTTAAGCTCTGCATACACAAAGATAAATGGAGGGCAGTCTCCGCCTTAAAGAGAATGAGAAACAGATAAGTAATTTCTACAATAATCCCAGTTAAGTGTTAGGATACAAATAAGCAGAAGGTTTGGGGAACACAAGAAAGGCACCAGTGGCTCACACCTATAATCTTAGCTATTCAGGGGGCTGAAATTTGAGGATCTTGATTTGAAGCCAACCCTAGCAGGAAAGTCCTTGAGACTTATCTCCAATTGACCACTAAAAAGACAAAAATGGAGCTGTAACTTAAGTGGTACTGTGTCACCTTGAGTGAAACCACTTAAGGGACAGCACTCAGATTGTGGGTTCAAGCCCCAATAACCACACACACACACACACACACACGAATCCAACTAAGCTCAGAACAGAAGATGGACAGTTACCATGAATTTATGTCCATGAGATTTTCTTAGCCTTCATGCCCAGCATATATATTGAATCAAAGAATAAATGAACAAAAGTTAAGTCAAAGAATGAATGAACAAAAGTGACCCTGATCCAACAGTAAAGGATCTCTGTTTTGTCCAGTGTTAATAGGTGATTGCTGCAGGTAAAGAGTTTGGGTGACAGCCTACCTTCCCAAGCTAGACTTCTGGTTCTAGGGAGTGACCAGCCAAGCAGCAAGACAGAGCCAAGGAATGAGAGCTGACTGGAGCCTGCAGCCTCTGTCAGGACCAAGCACAAACAGCATCCCTTCTTGTCCATATAACCATGACAAGTGATTGTACTTTCTTATTCCAGGCAAAGCGAAGGCTGGAGCTGGGTGAAAGTGGCCATCAGTACCTCTCAGATGGTTTAAAAACCCCCAAGGGCAAAGGAAGAGCTGCACTACGGAGTCCAGATAGCCCAAAAAGTAAGGATTCTTTGATCTGTTCCCTGTTTTCCTTGATGTGAGATTCCTACCTTGCAAAGCTTGTGGCTGGAAGGATGCCATGGTGTGAATAGTTGGGCATGTTTTGTTCATTTTCATCTCTTTCTGTGCCTCTCCAGAGATTAAATACAGTTTTTGCAGACACCTAGCAAAGGGCTACTAGTCACTGTAATACCTGAATCCTGACTTCCAGGAAGACTACTTTTAACTAGAAGCAGTTTTGTTTTCAACTCAGTGCTATCAGTTTTTGGTCTCATTCTATAATCAGATTTAATTTTCACTTCCCGAATGGACATTACCTCCGAGTTGGAGACAAGCTAGGCGGAGACAAACTATGCCAGAGTCAGACATGTCTCTGCCGACCTCAATCTGCAGCTCAGCAGATGGCAGTATAAGAATTGATTGCACCAATAAAATGCAGCTACTTCTACTTCCATTGGATGCTATCATCATTTTATCTGAGAGACAGAAGTTATAAACAGCCAGACAGTCCCATTATGTCTTTTTTATTATTCTTGTTAGAGTTTTGAACTCAGGGTCTCATGCTTGCTAGGCAGGCAATCTACTGTTGAGCCACATCTCCAGCCCTACTTTTCACTGGTTATGGCTTAAGATAGTGTCTTACTTCCTGCCCAGGCACATTCCTGGACCACTATTCACCTATTTTAGGCTTCTTAGTACTGTTGAGATGACAAACATGCACTTACAATGTCCCACTTCCTTCTAATTGAGATAGTCTTACAGATTTTCCTGCCCTAGCAGGTCTTGAACTGTGATCCTCCCTTCTCAGCCTCCCAAGTAGCTATGATTACAGGGATTAGCCTGTACTTACATTTACTACAAAGGCTAAATTAGACTTCATTTCCTCCCTGCCTATAGTTTATGCATTAAGCCATCCACCAAGGGTGTGTGTATCAAGCCAAATCAAAAATTTATTCTAGGCTGGTAATGTAGCTTAGTGGATAAAAACAGGGGGGGAAAGCCAGAAGTGGTGTTGTGGCTCAAGTGGTAGAGTGCTAGCCTTGAACAAAAGTTCAGGGACAGTGCCCAGGCCCCAGAGTTCAAGCCCCAGGACTGGCAGGGGAAAAACAAACAAACAGAAAAAAACTTTAAACACTTATGGAAGAATGACCAATCATAAGTAAGTAGCAAAATTTTAAGAGCCATGGGGAGCTTTGTTGTTAAAACTTTCCAGGTATTTCTTATCAAAATGAAACTGAAAACTCAGCAGTCTGGTGAGAGCTTGAGCCTGGCTCTATCAGGGTAAGCGCTATGTGATTGCCTGAGGCTACAGCACCTTTTCATGAATTGACCAAGTAGTTTGAAGCAGACTTTCCTTCCTGGGCTGGTTTTGAACCATGATCCTCAGATCTCAGCCTCCTGAGTAGCTAGGATTACAGGCATGAGCCACCGGTACCCGGCTAAAACAAGAAGTTTTATTATCCCTTTCTGTTTTGTTTTATGCCAGCCCTGGGGCTTGAACTCAGGGCCTATGCACTGTCCCTGAGTTTTTTTGCACAAGGCTAGCACTTTGCCATTGGAGCCACAGCTCCACTTCTGGCTTGTTTAACAGAACTAAGAGTCTCAGAGTGACTTTGAACCATAATCCTCATATCTCAGCCTCCTAAGTAGCTAAGATTATAGGCATGAGCCACTGGTGCCCAGCTGTCCCTTCTTTTTCTGATCAAGTAATCTCATAACTTTTGGAACTCACCCAAAACAACAGCTTGGCTTCAAATACTAATCCTCGGGCTGCAGTGGGAAAGAGGGCTTGCTTACCTGCAAAGAAACCCTTCATTTCTTTCCCCCTATCCCCCCCACCCGTTCGGGTTTTTTTTGTTTTTCTTTAAGCTCCAAAATCTCCCTCAGAAAAAACGCGGTATGATACGTCACTCGGTCTGCTCACCAAGAAGTTCATTCAGCTACTGAGCCAGTCACCTGATGGGGTCTTGGATTTGAACAAGGCAGCAGAGGTGCTGAAAGTGCAGAAGAGAAGGATTTACGATATCACCAACGTGCTTGAAGGCATCCACCTCATTAAGAAGAAGTCTAAGAACAACGTTCAGTGGATGTGAGTAGGAGAACAGTCTCCCAATGCACTTGGCCTGCAGAGGTTCCTTTCTTTCCAGCTGCCTCAGTTTCCAGATTCTTGCCCCTGCTCCATTTCTTTTCTTCCCTCCCTTCTTTCTCTCTTTCCTCCTCAGCTTGTTATGTAGCCACTCAGTCTTTCATCATAGAGACCATTTAGATGAAGTGTGACTTTGTGAGGTAGACCAAATGTTCATCTGGGTAGATAAAGTGACTGCACAATCACAAAGCATCTTTACCTTGGTTCTAATAGATTGATTCATTCTCTTGTAAATTCAGGCAAGACCTTAGTGTCTCAGTTTCTTGTGTAGATCAGGGATGGTAACACATACTTGCATGCCATATATGTTACACATGGTAATCCATAACATTTATGCATCATGGACAGAGCAATGTGTTTTATAACTGCCAGTGTTGTGTAAGTATAACACTGAACTCTTGAGCATCATGGAAAGAATAAATCTGTTTTAAGGTGGTTTTGGAAAAAAAAATACAGTCACACATCAGATCAATAGGTAACTTCTTTGTGCTTTTTAGAATTTTGGACAGTTCAGTAACCCATTGTGACCTGTGTGTTAGAGAAACCTATTGAGTACTGGTCTTTGTTCTTGTATATTCCTACTGCATCTATTTCCTTAAACCCATTTTCTTCTTACTGTTGGTGTGAGACCCTCAGAAACTACCTAGGTCTCTCATGCTACGGAAGATTTTTCCTTTTTCGTTTTGAGTCATTTTATCTCTGCTGTCCTTCTGTGTCTTTCTCCTCTTTTTCTCTTCTTTCTTGCCCCACTGTCCAGGCATGCGGGGGGAGGGGGATGGCAGGGGAGCAGGTGGCTGTTTTCCTTTGCCCTCTGAATTTGAACCTTCTGAAGAACTAGAGTTCCTTTAGAAGAAAAGACCCCGAAAATAACAGTGCTTTTCTCACCTAATTTCTATGACATGAAAAGTTGAGTGCTGTATGAAAAGTATATATAAAGTTCTAATTTTAACATGACTAAAACAAGCAGTGTGACCTCCCATTATCAAGAGGGAGCATTCACCCAAAGGACCAATTCTCCCTCCCCTGGTGCTCATGGGCAGCCTTAAAGAATCTGTGTTTGACTTCTAGGGGCTGCAGTCTGTCTGAGGATGGGGGCATGCTGGCCCAGTGTCAAGGTCTGTCAAAAGAAGTGACAGAGCTCAGTCAGGAAGAGAAGAAACTAGATGAGCTGATCCAAAGCTGCACCCTGGACCTCAAACTGTTAACCGAGGATTCAGAGAATCAGAGATATCCTTTGTGCCACTAGTTTATTAGGGGCTAATGCCTTCTAGACTAACCGTCTCATTTATTCACGAGCTAGATTTTACTCTAGTTTTTTACCTCTATGTGTATGTTTATGTGCGCATGTGTGTATGTGCATGTCCTCGCACCCACGTCCCCACTCACCTTTATCTCAGTATCCATTTTGTTAGCCAGGTGGGAGCTGGTTTTTAAAGCATTCTATTCTTGTGTGGTTGGAATGTACGGGTACACTCCTGTCGTAAGACCACGTTATTAAAAGATGTGTAAGGTGTCAGTATTAATTAATATTAATAACAATACTCAGCAGATTTGCTTCCCAGATTTTTGGTGGGTGTTAGCTGTCGCTGTTGGGGTTCTCACATTCTATTTTCTTTTCATTAGACATAGTAGCAGTTGGAATGTGTTGATTATCTATTGGGCTGAGAAATTGGAAAGAGAATAGAAAACTTAATTACTCTCTGTAGTGATATCCATGTGGAATTCCTACATTCAGGAGACAAAGGCAAGAAGAGTGCCAATTCAACATCAGCCCAGGCTATATAGTGAGTGAGGCCTTCTCCAAGACAGAGAGAGAGATTATGTTTTAACACCGTGTGTTATTTTCCACCCCAAGACTGACTTCAGAAATACCCTAGAACCTGAGACATCTCAATTTATATATTCAAGTGGAGACCAAACAACAGTTTTTAAGTCATCCTGTCCATATTTTTCAAGGTTCTTTTTTCTAACAAGGTTCTTTTTTTCCTATCTTGGAAAGGATAGGATCATTTTCTTTTTAGATTTAATCAGTTTTTAAACCCACAAGTTGTTTATGTTCTGTTGACCTTGTCATTTGATAATTAGGGGGTGGAATCTTCTCAAGTGAGATGACTTAAACCCCCAACAGTGGCCAGAGGAGGTTCACAAGAGAAGAAATTGATAGTGGAGCTGTTTCATTCATTGTTAAGTAGGAGTCCTGTTGTGAAGGAACTGTGTGGTTACACGTGATTGGCAGTTTTCTGGAATGTGTGGCTCATGGCATTGCCACACCTGTTCACTTTCTCAGAGACCTTTGTTGAAGAAAATGAAAGCTGCTTTCCAGGGGACAGCAAACACAAGGAACGGATTTGGGAAGGAGCCCCAAAGGAAGCACTTTCTAAGTTTGTAAGATTAAAAAAAGGTATTTGTACAGTTTATTTCAATTCACCATTCAGTTCCCAATTTGGTACAGCTTGTTCACAAATGTGTTGAAATTTTCCTTCCTGCAGCATGTTGAGTAATTGTAGATGAGGTTTTATTTTAATAAGTTCTTCTCACGTCGATTTTTGACAGGCTGGCTGTAGGGGAAGAACCTGGTTATCAGTTTTTCCTAGTGTTGTCAGTAAAAGTCAGAAGTGTCTTCTGTAATGCTATTAGTTGGCTTTTTTGGTATGGGATAAATGTTGACCTAAAAAACACAGTTTTCCAAGGACATTAACCCAAGCTCAACCTTGAACTTACTGTTGTCTCAGCTGTTGAGTTTTAGAGAACATACTCTGTGAAAGATACCCCTATCTAGATACGCAGAATTTGTGAGGATATGTTTTATTTTGTATTGTTTCTAAGGAGAAGATTCATAGCTTCCTTCAGTATCTAATATGCCACTTCTGGTGGTTCTATCATTTCCTCTGAGCTCTAAACTTTTTCTCAGAATTCACTATGTGAGATAGCAGACATTATGAGCTAGATCCTATTACTCGGCAGAACTGTGTTCATTGTTCTGTTATTTTCTGTTTTAGTCTAGACATTCTCCTGGGTTCCTATGTAGAAAAAGTCTGACTATAAACATTGTATCTCAGTTATGTTCCATATTCCGTATACAAGAAAGGCAGGCAGCCTCATAGCTTTTAGTGCTAACTGCAAATTTGTCTCTTGTGAGCTTTCCTGAATATGTTTGCCATATAATAAGTGCCATATTCTTTCATGATACCCTTTAGGCTTAGCTTGCAGGGCCCCTGAAGGAATTGTTCATTGCTGGGAAGTACTGCTAGGAGTAGTGATGCTACTTTGTTTTCTTGGGGTTTTTTTGTTGTTGTTGTTATTGTTTGTTTGGTTTTCATTGGTTTGTTTTTTTATTTATTTGCTTGTTTTTTATTGGTCGTGGGGCTTGAACTCTGGGCCTGGGCGCTGTCCCTCAGCTCTTCAGCTTAAGGCAATAGCACTCTACCACTTGAGCCACAGCGTCACTTCCAGTTTTCTGAGTAGTTTATTGGAGATAAGAGTCTCACAGACTTTCCTGCCCGGGCTGGTTTTGAGCCGTGATTCTCAGATCTCAGCCTCCTGAGTAGCTAGGATTACAGGTGTGAGCCACCAGCGCCTGGCTGCTACTTTATTCTCTTTTCCTTACATCAGTGTTTCTCAAATTCATTCAGGCAGCTGGGAGCCACTTTTCTCCTTGTGAACACTGAAGTGTTGGTTAAGTTAAAAAGAATAAGTTTTCTTACAGAAATGACACTCTTATCTGTAGGCAGTACATAATCACAACCAGTTCAGGAGCACTTCAGAAAACCAGCTTGGCTGCCTTCTTCCACTTACTCATTCACGTGATGGCTGCTGACACTTGCTAATAGCAGATAGGCATGACTAGAGTTACAAAAAAAGATTATCATTCATAGAACATGCCTTTTCTTTTCTATAAATTGGGTTCTACCATCATTCAGTTTGAGTGACAGGTACTGCATCTCAGTGCATGAAATACCTATGTACCAGAGGGACCTGGTTTCAGAAGCTCTGACCTAAGTGGGATTTGATTTTCATTTGATAGTTTAACTATTCTGCTTTTTGTGTCTATTTTAATACCCTAAATAACCAGAGACATAGAAATAGGCAAGAGAATGTCTTTATGTCTTTGTTTAGAACATCAATCAGTAAAAAAGATCCATGGGGTTGGGGCGGCAGGGGGAGATATCTGAAGATCCAAAATGGGAGATATGTATTCTTAGAAATCATAAAAGAATTTAATTTTTCTCCATGTTGTTTTTTTTTTCATTTTTATGATGGGTATGTCTTAAGGCATTTATATGGAAGTTTTCCTTAACACTCCTTACGTTAGCTTATGTTACATATCAAGATATTCGAAAAATTAGTGGCCTTAAAGACCAAACTGTTATAGTCGTGAAAGCCCCTCCAGAAACAAGACTTGAAGTGCCTGACTCATTAGAGGTAAGGAGGCAGCATCTTCATGTATGTACAGAGATCTTTCTGGAATACGTGATGTGGAAGGATTGTTGACTCATGGTTAAAGTCTGTTCCCTCCTAAGAGCTTAATGGTTCACTCTCATTTGTTTTGCTTAGCCCTAAATTTAAAACAGTTCAACAGTTCACTGATCATAAAATGTCCAAAATGTCTAATTTTAGACTAGCAAGGCATTTAGCTCAAAGCAATCTATGATGTCCTGCCCTTCTTAAACTTTCTCCTTTTTTTCTTTCTTTTTTTTTCAATCATTTATTATCTAGGGGTTCTTATCAATTTGAACTACTTAAGGAATTTTCTGTTGATTACCCTATATATAAATGGTAATGACTTATATACAGTAGTTACCATGAATAAAGATACAGATATTTTTCAAGTATATCCCTAACTTGGCATATTTTAAGAACTTCTTCCGTGATTTATAACATGTTTACTTCAAAAAATTAAATAGGACCTTGGGGTAACTAATAGACCAGAATATTTTCAGAAAGTAGGGTATACATTTTTTGTAATTTCTCTCAGATGTTATTTGATAATATAGCCTACTGCTATAAGAAGGACAACAATGGGGGGAAACACATAAATGATAAAGTGAGATGAAATTCACAAGCGTTCCCCCCTTCCCCCATTAAGGTACAATTCCTGCCTTAAAAGATAATAGCTCTAAAGCCAGGTGCTGGTGACTCATGCCTGTAATTGTAGCTACTCTCAGGAGGCTGAGCTCTGAGGATCGAAGTTCATTGCCAGCCTGGGGAGGAATGTATGAGACTCATCTCCAGTTAACCACTAGAAAACTGGAAGTGGCACTGTGGCTCAAAGTGGTAGAATGCTGGGCTTCTGCAAAAGAGCCCAGCAAAAGAGGCCCTGAGTTCAAATCCCTAGATGAATTGAATTTTGTCATTAAGCTATAGATTCTCTTAAATACAGTTCCTCATACTTAAGAATAATACTCATAAATTGGTTAGTAAAGTTTAGTATTGGAAAGTCCTACAATAAAGAAACAAAAAACATAAAATACCAAATTTCCAACTCTTAGCAAGCCCCTTAATAATTTGTGAAAAACGAATATATCCAAAGAACCATTTTCACAGTTAGCCAATTAGATAACCCAAGATCCCATTTAATTTATTGGCATTCCTCTTGCCCTCTTTGCTTTTTCTCTAGGGTAGAAATTAGCAAACTTATTTTTTAAATTGCAGGGCTTTATGAGCAACAAGCTCTGTTCAAACTCCAGCTACTAAATTCTTTCATTTTAAAAACAGTCAGAGACATGTATATTGGGACAGATTTTGACTCTATTCCAATAAAACTTTTATTTATAAAGCAAGTCGGTGGATCGGTGGATTGACCGTGGCCCTCGGGCTGTTGTTTGCTGACTGACTCCTGCTCTAGAGGATGACCTTCATTGATAAAAGTCAGGTTAGGGGTGAGGAAGCAAAATGAACAATGACTATTACCCTTGCAGTTCAATCTTCAGTGAAATTTACTATGTTTTTCATTTCTAAAAGAACTTGTGAGTTGAGCTTCTCTCATTTCTGTTATTATAGAGCCTACAAATACATTTGGCAAGTACCCAAGGACCCATTGAAGTTTACTTGTGTCCAGAAGAGACTGAAACACACAGTCCAATGAAAACAAACAATCAAGACCACAATGGGAATATCTCTAAACCCACCTCCAAAGGTAAAAATTTTCTACCATTAACTTTTAGAAACTTTGTTAAAAAGGAAGATAACTAGAAGGATTCTGAATCTGAACCACAAGTCTAGACCCAAAAGAAAAAATATTGCTTCAACTGTTATTAAGGTAATATTTCTTAAAACTCATTCTGACTGGATTAAAGTGGGCAATGACTTCTCCACCTACTTACTGAGTCCTTTGGGGGTTTTATTATCAGCAAAAGACATTTCCTTGTAGTGTTTTGAAAAATGGAGGATCATCAGCTACAGTTGGCCTTCCTTTTTGGAGGGCGTGGGGGTGGGGGTTGATCTCAAGGCCTTGGCTCTGTCCTTTGGCTTTTTGCTCAAGGCTGGCACTACAAGTTGAGATAGATCTCTGCTTCTGGCATTTTGGTGGTTAATTGGAGATGACAGACTCACAGACTTTACTGCAGCAGGCTTTGAATCTTGATCCTCAGATCTCAGCTTCCTAAGTAGGTAGGATTACAGGTATGAGCCACCAGTGCCAAGCTTTGATGTTGCCAACATCATTATAGAGGCAAGTGAAGACTGCAGGGAAAAGAGCCTTTGTCAGAGAATCTTACTTATTTCCTTCCCCAGGGAAATGTGGAGAAGATATATCTGGGAAATAAATGCAATTCCCCTTCCTCCTCTGTCACAAGGACAAAGCACTCTCCAGTTCCTAAGCCCTGCCTCATTCCCCAGCCATCTCCCCAAAGAGCAGCCAATAGGAGCGCTTGAATGAAGTGGGTCTGATTTGATGCTAGGAAAAATATTACACCTAAAATAAAACAAAAGACCATCCATCTTCAACTATAGAATTTCAAAGTATGTCTTGACTAGATGAATTTTTAGAGGAATTGCTAATAAACTACTTATTTTAAGAAGACTTAAAGTTGAGTTTTTGTTGGAAGACCATGGTTTTTGCTTTATATTTTGTTATTCTTTAAGGAATAACTAGATAGTAGAGAAAAGTTGTTTTTGTTTTTTAAAGTGTCATCTTTGGAGTAATTTGGATCCTTGTTTTTTGACAGTAGAGGGGTTCCTTTGTTTTGTTTTTTAAGTTCTTTATTGAGATTAAGTGATTACATAAATTTCACAGTATTGTGGGATAGTGATACTTAGCTAAAGTCACAAACACATTTTTACCTTCACAAGGCAAATTGTCATTATCATGGTCTATAAAGCTTGTGAAATCTACAAAACTTTGACAATACAACTGTTTCTCCCAGACCTGGTGATATGTACATTTCTTTTCTTAGTGTACACTGTTTTGTTGTTTTTTAATGAGTTAAGACTAGGTCAGGAAGTGGTGCTATGGTTCAAGCGGTAGAGCGCTTGCCTTGAACTGAAGAGCTGAGAGACAGCGCCCAGGCCTGGAGTTCAAGCCCCATGACCGAAAAAAAAAAAAAAAAAGACTAGGTCAAAGACAAATCACTCCTTTGTATTTTAGTATAAAATGTAGCTTCTGTCATGAAGCCATCTTATTTTCTTAATCAGAAAGCAGTGTATACCTGTCTTCCAAAATACTGGTGAATTTGATTGTCTCCTAACTTACTTTGGTTTACTCTCCAATGTTTTCTTTTCAGATTTGGCTTCAAACAACTCAGGACATAGTGATTGCTCAATTTCTATGGCAAACCTTTCTCCTTTGGCCTCCCCCGCCAACCTTTTGCAGCAGACCGAGGACCAAATTCCTTCCAACCTAGAAGGGCCATTTGTGAACTTACTGCCTCCCCTGCTCCAGGAGGACTATCTACTGAGCCTGGGGGAGGAGGAAGGCATCAGTGACCTCTTTGATGCTTACGATTTGGAAAAGCTGCCACTGGTGGAAGACTTTATGTGTAGTTGATTGTGCTTTGTGTGAACTCTCCTTATAAACCAATATTTTTTTATCATGGAACCAGAACATCTGTCATGCAGTGTTGTCCCTTCCTACTTTCTTCCTCCAAGAGAGTATCATGAAGTAAACTACAAACTTCAGAACAAAGCTGACATTTTAATGAATTTAGGATATCTGTCTAAACGCACAGTCGCAGGCTCCCCTGGGAAAGTCCTGCCTTTATTCCAGGCTCCAAATTCTCCTGGATGAGTCAGCAAGTGAGAAAATGTGCAATCAGGTGTCTCTCACCTGTCCTTTTCCTTCCCTGCCTCCCTCCATTCCTTCCCTCCCTCCCGGATTGGCTTGCTGTGCCTGATGGATGGGCTGTAGAATGGGTCTGGCCACCTGGCCCACTGGAAAACAGCAATCTTCCTTAATAGCATTTCAAGCCGTGCCTTCTGTGCAGAATGCATGTCTTTGGGGTCTGCTAATATGGAATGGAACTGCAGCAAACGCAAACTTGAAGTCATGCAAAGTATGAAATGGATTTCTTCAACTCTTCTTAGGAATATTTAAATTACTGTCCTAATTCAGTGTAAGCTATGGACTTCGTGTCCCATCAGGGGGTCATGAGAACCTCCAAGCCTTTCGGATGAAGAACCTGTTTTGTTTTGTTTTTTTTTTTTCAAATACTTGTTGCAGATACAGAAGACTAGTAGAGTTCTGCCACTCGAAGCTGTTGTGGATTTTCCTGTCTCCATAAACCACTTCTACTTCCCTGTCCCTAATGTATTTGTGAGTTTCTGATTGATTTGTAGCAAATGCCTACTTGGGAGTTCCTTGTGGATTGTTTTAGACTTTTTCCTTTTTGTTTTTTTTTTTAAGCTGCCATTTAAGCATTCCTGTGGCACCCATCACCATTTCAATTTAATTGTTTACTTTCAAGTGATTTTTGCAAGTTCAGAGTATTTTAGCAGAGGGAGAGAACCTCTACTGATCAGAGCATCTTAAACCTGTGTGACCCAAGGTCTACCAGCCTCTGCAAGAAGCATCATCCTACCTTGCTTCCTTCCGCAGGAAGGGAGCTTGGAGCGAGTCAGCTCTGGAGCTCACTTGTATGGGTGGCTCATTGCAAAGGATTAACAGGTCAGATGACAAAAAATAAAAAGCAGTCCCAAGGAACAGCCAGGCATGGACCCCTCCATCCTTGGGCTTCCCGGGCCCCTGTGACCGGGGAAAGGGCTCTTATGCCATACTCAGGGAGACCACTTCTCAGGATGGGTTCAGATGGAGAGGCCTCTAGGGAGACAGACATCCCATTGTGTGAGTGGCATTCTATCATGGCACTTCCTTAAGCTAGAAAGAGCAAGGAGCTCCCACTGTTTTGGGAGTGGAAGACTCCTGGCCCAAACCCATTCCCCTCCACTATGAAGGAAGTCAGAAGATAGAAAATGAAGTGGAATGCCAGGGCGTCTCCTTCACTCCTCAGGAATGGTACCCCATGTTGGAGGCTTTCACATAGCTTCAGATCTTACCAGTTTCATCCAAGAATGGCATTCCCACTGGCAGGTGGCGATGGCCATCTTCTCCTGGGAGTATGGCATAGTACCTCAACTCCATTTCTTGGATGCTAAGGGCTGCAGAAATGAGGGAGTCATGAAATCTCCAAATGAACAGTTAAATTGAAATGCTATGTGCCTGGCCCATTGCCGTGGGGGTGGGGTGGGTGGGGGGACACATAGTAGGCACCCAACTTGTATGCGTTAATTGAAAATACATCCCCTTAGGAGAAAAAATTTTTAATAAACCACAAGAACCCCGGCCAGTTTACTCTAGTTAGATTTCCACAATATGCAAAGTGGTGGTGGGGTCAAGACAGATGACACCAGCACTTTAAGCTCTGTGTGTGGGTATGTGTGGTGTATGTTTGGGAAGAAAAACAAAGGTGCAGACTATCTTCCTCTCTCTTCTTCAGCCTCCATCCCCAGCCTCCTCCCCTCATACACACTGGACTTGGTACAAAATATCCGTGTGGTCCCGAGCTAAAGCATTGGGGTGGAGGAGGGAGGGGGAGCTTTGTGTTAAGTGCCTACTGGAAATGCACTGTGGGGTTTTTTCCTGTATGGGAAACCATTTATGCCAAGCTTTTCCCCCATTTCCCATATTTATCTCATCTGGTTAGCTGCCTCTGCTTCCAGCTTTGTGTGATTCTCATTGCCAGCTGCACAGAGCTGATGTTTTTCCAAAGTCTAAAAACTGAGCTCACCTGGCTAGGTTGTTGTGTGTTTTGTTGATCTTGAACCTTTTCGTAATATAAATGCCATATTTATTATTTTAAGAAATGAAAGGAATACTAATAAGTCTTAAAAGTTCCTTCAAGCATAAGGTGTTTTTGTTTTTGTTTTTTGTTATTTTGCAGTTAATGGGCTTAACTGGTGTACATTAATGAGTCGTCCATACTGTATTCTGTTCGTGTTAGGCATTTCTTTTTCCATAATATCTGGCACACGAAGTGGGTTAGTAGTACTACAGTATTTGTGCCACTTTGAGTACTAAAGTATGCAGGTTTCCTGGTACCATTGAGTTGCTGCTATTAAAGCTCACACATGAAATGGCTATAAGTTACAAGTGTGCGAATTATGACTGCGTGAGCCTTAGAAACTAAAATGTATAAAGGGCAACACATGAGCTGTCAAACAGCGTTAGGTGTGTTTATATGTACAGAGTTGTGCATAGCGATCGTTTTATTTAAGTTGATAATGTAGTCTATTCACATTTTCATTATTTAGCAATTTTGTACAAAAAAATAGCAATTAATTTGTAAACACTGCCAGAATATTTTCTAGCTGGTTTGTAATTTTTTAAGAGTGTTAACCTTGGTTTTGTTTTTTTTTTTGTTTTTGTTTTTTGGAATTTTATTGGTTTTTTTGTTAGTGTTGTCGTTGTTGATGTTGTTGTGGTTCTTGTTTTCATTTTGTCGTATGTGTAGATCTGTAAATAGAACTGCAGTATTTAAAGCTTTAGCTTTCAGGAAAAAGGAAGTAAGAACTCTGGGCATGACAGCTTATGTGGGTGAGAAGGAAAGGTTTGAAGGAAGACGCCTTTCAGAGTAAGTCGAGTGGCAATTGTCAGGTGTGGGAATTTCTTAAATTTCCTGCGGGGTACGTGATTTTGTAAAAAGGAAGTACTTCTCCCAAGATTGGGAATAGGCAAACTACTAATCAGTTTAGCTTTGTGTTGTATGCTAGTTTAAAAAAAATACAAAAAAAGGAAATATGTAATATAATGTAAAAAAAAAAAGCTTTTATGATGGATTTTGTAAATAGATTTGTTACAGGGTGACCTGTTCTCTAGCTGTGATCTTACCACTTCAAATGGATGTAATTTGAATAAATTTTGTATGGTAAAGGATCAATAAAAAGATTTTTTTTAAGAGTTCAGACTTGTGGATGGATTTTCTTAGTGTTATTTTATGCTCCTAGTCAATTTAATTTGTAAGGATATTCTTGAATAAGAAATCTTAACATCACTTGCCTTCTGTGATATTTGGGACTCTGGGGGTGTTGAACAAATGATTACAGCTTGCACTCTGTGCTGGATTCACCTGGACAATCTGTAGAAACTACTCCCAACCATTAAAGGATGATGATTAGCCTGAAAAACTGACAAGACATTTTAATTCTTCAAGAGGGCTATGAAGAAAATAAACTTTAATTCTTGAGTCTGGGAGTTCTCACCCATCTTCTAGATTCTGAATTTCTAATAATGCCACTTCTGAACAGATGAGGGTTTGCAAATGCCATGCCATTTTGTTAGCAGGTTTATTATCCCCGAATCCCAAAGTGCTATCCATAGACTGCACACACAGAAAGTCAACATAGAAGTACATGAAGATAAAAGCAAAGAAAATATTCCTGCTCCCATCTCACTCACCCCAGAAGTAACCATTCTCATTTTTCTCCTGTGAGCTTTCAGTCCAGTTGTTTTCTACTTCCATATGGTGTGTATTTTAACATAAGTCAAACCACAGCTCTTACTCTTTCACTAACTACAACTTAACCATCGCTCTGTTTGTCTTCTTCAGAGGCTGCAATATCTATGATTAAAACTTCATCACCATAGATGAGGCCCTGGGTTCGATTCCTCAGCACCACAGAAGCAGAAAAAAAACAGAAGTGGTGCTGTGGCTCAAGTGGTAGAGTGCTAGCCTTGAGCTGAGCTGAAGAGTTGAGGTCATGAGACCCAGAGTTTAGGCCTCATGACCAGAAAACAAAAAACAAAAAAACCTTCATCACCCAGGTTTTGAGAAATGTTTTGAGAATATATATATGTATATGCCAGGCACTGGCTGAAATCTAAAGATCTTAGTTTGAACCTTGCCCAGTCAGAAAACTCTATGACTTCTTATCTAACTAGCAAAGCACTAGAAGTGGTGCTATGTCTGGCTCACATGGGAGAGCACCAGCTTTGAGTGGGAAATAAGTGAGAGGCCCTGAGTTCAAGTCTTAGTACCAGCATCATCATCATCATCATAATATGTAAGGTTTTTAAAAGGGGCTGCCAACATGCCAAAAACTTAGAGAAGTGGGAAAAAATTGAGAGGGGGTAACGATGTTTGACAAGAAACATACTGCCTTACTTAGCCCTCTGTAGAACACCTTTACAATAAAATTTTGAAACTACAAATAAAATTTGTCATTAGTGACATTTAATATATTCACAACGGACAATCATTCTATCTAGTTCCAGAACATCTCATCACCCTGAAAGGAAACCTGTGCCCATTAGATAAATTAGTCATGCCATATTTCCCCCTAGTAACAGCCTCACAATCACTAATTGAATTGGGTTTCCATCTCTATGGATTTGCTCTTCTAGATACTTTTGTAATATGGTGTTTTATGTCCAGCTGTTTGGTGTAATGATCTCAGCATTCATCTGTTTAATGCCACGTACACTATTATTTATAATATATAGTATGCATTATACCGATATATAAAGTACTTGCCATATGCTATACGTTTATTACAAATACTAATATGAATATATATTATATGCCACTGTTATAGTTGCTAAGATTACACATTTTGAAAAGCAAAAAGAGGTTTCCAGTTATATGGAAATCTCATGAGCTATTTTCTTTCTGAAACCATTTATGGACATAGAAGGACTGAAACAAATGGAAAATGGAACATAGCCCTAGGTATTGTGACCTACGACATGTTAGGGGCCATTCCCAGTCTTCAACCCGTGCCTTTGAATGTAGGTGTGCTTGAAGAATGTTGCCCAAGTAGGCATGAATCAATGAATAAATCAATGGATCCATTTTCTAGTATGTATGTAGGAAGCTAGAACCCTGAGGTGAAGGAAAATAAAATTTTGTTGCAGGTCATGAACAAGAACTGCACTGACTAGAATGAATCAACCTTGAGTCCAAAGTGGCTGTGACACTCCTTCACTGAGAAGCACTCCAGGAATCCAAGGGAAGCTGCTCCTGAGAGTCAGCAGAAATCCTTGGGTAAGAGCAGATTCCTGGGTGGTCAGCCTGCAGGAATTGAGCTCTGTTGACCTCATCAAAACCAGCATTTCTCAATCCTGACTTCTGAAGCAAGATGGCTGTCCCAAAGTTTCCTTCCTGCTGCATCTTGAATAAGAAGGAGAGTCAGGATAATAAAGGAGAGACTTGGGCAGGGAGTGTAGCTTAGTGGTAGAGTGCTTGCCTAGCATACATGAAGCCCTGGGTTCAATTCCTCTACGACATAAACAAAAAATGCTGGAAGTGAGTGACACTGGCTCAAGGTGTAGAGCAGTAGCCTTGAGCATAGAGAGGCTTGGAGACAGAGCCCAAGCCCAAGTTCAAGCCCCAGAACCAGCAATAAATAAATAAATAAAGGAGAGACTTCTGGAAAAAAGAAGAACATCAGGAATCAAGAAAGATAACATGACAGGGGGTGGGAGAAACAGCACAGAAAAGTAGAAAACCATCTAACCTGTAACCACAATTGGTATGGGATAGGGAGGTGGGGACCTGAAACCACATCTACAGTTGGCCAGAAAAGCACAGGCAATCCTGGTGACAACAGACAGGCACAGGAAAAACAGTTCTTGCAAGTCCTAAATCCAGTCAGACATTTGGTATGACAGTATTCTGTGCATTACAAGCCACGCTTGGAGCAGAAATCCATGGATCACTTCCCACATCCTAGAGAGTTATAGCCAAGCACCATCTTGAGAGGGGATTTATTGTCTGAGATTGAGTGGCGATGAGGACCTGAAACAATGAGCAATAACACGCCTGAAAACCTGAGTATAACTGCCACACAATCTGGGTGGGGCATGGCCACCCAGGTAGATGCTGAGAAGTGTCAGAAGTAGTTTAGTGAGCATTGATTTTAGGCAGTGAGTTTAGACAGTGATCGCGATGGTCAGTGACCTTGACCTCTGGTCAGGAGCCAGCCTTTTCTGACTGTAACCCAGAGCTCCAACCAGTGGATTGCTCAACCTCCTAAGCTGCCTTCCCACTGTGTGTGTCTGTGTGGTTTACTATTGGGCAGGTCTGGGAGCTTTGAGCCCAAGTCTTGCAGATGACTTGATTTCCCCCACTTCCTCCCTCCCACTAGGTGTTTTATTGCTAGGCAAGATGTAAAGCACTGGGACTATGTTCTGGGACTGAGTGCTCTGTTCCATTGATTCTTTTCCTCCAG